TTCTTTTGGTGCTACAGTTACTCTTCCACAACTCAATATATTCACAACATCTGTGGCGAAGTGCATGTTTGAGTATAGTCTAGGAATGAACACTTCATTGTAATGGTTTTTCCAGGCAGCCATATTATTGCACAATAAATAAAATGACATAAAATATGCAGCTGCCTTGAAATCCAAATATTTTCCCCAAGCTAGCACTTTCATTCCAGGGATATTGCATTTTTGTAGCTCTCACAAATGGCAATGTTTTCATTCTTTGCACCATCCCCAGAACACTCATGATTAGGAAATGCAATACCGGTCAAAGAATAAATTCAAAGCCCTATAATTTGTTTTATGTCAGTTACTTATCTTAACATATTCTGCATTAAAGCTTTTCTGATCTTGCACATATTAATTAAGAAACCTATGCATTTTGGAAAGTTAATCAAAAGGTTCAAGGAATAAAACACTCTAAATTGTTTGTCTGCAAAATGGAAGTAGCATAGCTTTCCTGCACTTTCACTTTCTAAGTGACTGGCCTATAAACAAGATTGTAGCAGGTTCTCTTTGGTACAACTCCATTTAATTAATCTTCAAGCCATTAACCATTGATTTAAAATTCCACTTATAAAATCTTCATTTTGCACATTATCAGTTGTTTTGCAAATAGCTATCCATGAACAGAGGCATAATGATCTCCCTTTTCCCATTCTTGCAGCTTACTAACCTCATAGTCAATTTTGGCTTTTTAATTACTCACATTCATATTAGCATTTAAAATTAAATGGCAGATTAAAAAAAATAATGTGCACAGACATAAAAAGTTAAAATTCCTATTACAGAGCTGCCTGATGGAGGAAGTAAAATCTATTTTTGTTTAAAGGGCATGATGGAGTTTCGTCTAAAATTGAAATATAAACAGAGAAATGGAACATTTTTAAAATAAATATTACTGAATTGTTTTAAAACTATTTTTCACTAGGGGTGGGGAGGTCCTTGCCAGCAACGATTTTTCAAATTTTTCAGTGAACTTAGTTGGATCGGGTATCCTTTTGTGTGCATCACAATAATAGCTATTTTACTTCCAAATGAAGCTCTTAGACACCATGAGCGGTGTGGTGACCTAGTGGTGAAGACTCTCGCCTTCCACTTGGAAGGTTGAGAGTTCAATCCTAGGTAACAGCAGATGTTTCTTCCTAGGGCACAAAGAAAAAATATCTGCTGTGAACTCCACGTGGCTTTTTTAAGGGCATCCGGTCAGTAAATGCTCAGCTCAGTAAATGCTCAGCTCCATCCAGTTGCCCTGATTCTATTCCAAATTAAGGAATTACAGGGTGGTAAAAAAGGAGAGGGTCTTAAACAGAAAACAGAAGCAATAATTTGTAAACTGAAATTTGCATCTCAATTCTAGACTTAAACCATGAGTTGAGATCAGATTTCCTGTACACGTATCTAATTCCATTACATCTGAACCCAAGTCAGAGTTGAAGGGGCTTTCCCTACTTGCACCTGATCAGGTGTGACAGGAGCAGTTTCACTAGGAAAGGTAGTCCAAGGCAGCGTTTCTCAACCTCAGAGAGAGGTGTGGCTTTCAACTTCCAAAATTCTCCAACAAGCATAAAGTTGCTGAGTTTGAAACACGCCGGTTTAGGGTTCTATTGTCCTCTTTTGACTCTTTACTCTTTCTTTCTTGGTGCTTTCTTCATTTTTAAAGTAATTATTTGCTGAAGATTTTAGTTTGTGAAAAAAAAGGATATTTTTTTTAAGGATCAGAAGGTTACTTTTTCTTAGTTTTCTTAGATCAAGATTCTAACCTAGCAAACCATTGTGTATTTATATCTAGTTTTCCAAAATTGGGGCTATGGTAAAAAGTGATCTGAATCCACACAATAAAATATGCTAGAAAGACATTAGCTTATGATACTATAACCAGTCGTCCACATCCCAATGTTATGATAATAAAGACAGCACATTTATACTTGTATGTGTGAAACAAAATGATTCTGAAATAGATGGCCCTTACAGAAGATACATGAATAGAATAAGTGGATGCAATAGGGGGGTGTTGCACACACAGAGGATAGGGAACGAGAGAATGTTGTATTCAAATGTTTTGTGTTTTGAGCTGCTGCTCACATTCCATTTTTTTTCTTTTAGCTTGAGAAGCCTCACTTTCTATACAGATAGTTCTTATTTAATGACTGTTCATATTATGACTGTTCAAAGTTACGGCATTCACACAACTGCACTGTCAAGCAACTCCACCATCATAAATGGTTGTGCCAATCCTCCCTGGTCACATGATCACATGACAGGTGGGTTAGCTTTATGACTGGTCATGGCGTTCTGCGATCAAATGGCCACGATTCAAAATATTTTTGCTGGTTTTTGGCAAAAGACACCCATTCAAATTTGCTTTGCGATCACTGGGTTTATGATTATACAGGCCAGAAAATTACTTAGATCATGTGGGTGCCATGTCTTATGTCCGCAATGTCTTACAACCTTAATTCCAGGGTGCAATTACAGTCGTAATTCAAGGACTTCCTTTAAAAGAGGTGCTGTTTCACTTCTCCACACTTAATGTAGCAACTAGTTCATGAATGGGCAATCTTCCTCAACCAGTTATTTTACAAAAAAATTTTTTTTATCATGTGTGTAAAATGAACTTTATAACATTATTGAATTAAGCACCATGAAAGAACCTCAAGCCAAAGGATGTACCTACCTGGTTGTGCTTATTGTGAGGGCAAGTTTGTTTTTGTGTACACACACATACATATACAGACATATATATGCATACACAAGCATAGATGTAAATTAGAAAGCACATATTTGCTCATATTGTAACCACAACTCTGAGCAGTTCACAAAATAGAAAAACAGTTGGAACCCCCAAAACATTTGCACTTTAAACACTTGGAAAAACTTAATAAATAGTAATAAAACTTCAAATACCAACATTATAATAAAGGTAAGTCATGATTTAAAATACTTTATCAAAAGCATCATAGGATGAATATACTTTTATTATTATTATTATCCAGATTTCTCAGATGAGGGAGGACCATGAAGTTAAGCCACAATCAGTCATCTTTGTCAGCTTTTGTAATTAATTATATAAGTAATATAGTATATGGCTTAATTCTCTAAAGCTTATATCTATAATATGAGCAATATAGTTCATAATATTTATGAGAGAGCTAAAACATTTAAAATGTTACAATAATTGAAATAAAGTTGGCTATAAAGAAATGTCGAAGTTGCCTCTCTCAAAAAAAAAAATCTCAGTTCAATACAGTTTTTTTATTTCAAAAACTAAGATAAACAAGCATGCTTTTCTTTCCCCCCAAACAGTTCCACACATCTCAATAGTGACTTCTTCATCTTCGGTTGCCTCCAGCTATCTGTCTTGTTTGCACTTTTGGAGAGTTCCCTCAAAAGTGTCTTCTCTAAACATAGGAAGCCACATCAAAGACAGCTTTTGTAATCTCCAATGCCAGATTTCAGAATCTCATTGTTATGGTTCCATGACTGTGACTAGGGATGCATGTTTTCTTTCAGTCATATAATAATAATACTATCAATTCTAGAAATTTGACATTAAGGATTAAAAATGGCTCCTTTCTCCCTGCTTATTATTCAAAAGACCATGAAAAGTAATCTGTTTTATAAAGCTATGTTTTGCAATCTGCATAAATATGCCATCATTCTCAGATCTTCCTCTGGCTTAATTGAAAGCATATAATATCATAGAATATGGAAAATGCAAACTGTAAACTTACATAGTAAAAAGTGTATAAGCAACAAGGTTTTTTTCTAGCAATTGGGTATAAAATGATGTCATTCCCCTTCCCAAAAATCCTGAACATGAAAGTCTGTTAGGGTACAGGACTTCAGAGCATAGAAAGAAAACTGTTTAATTTGTACTGAAATGTAATTTGAGGCAGGTCAATTAAGTCTCTTTGTGAAAGAAGAGCCTTTTGATAATAATTTCAATTTCATAATGACTTTGAGTAATGAATCTACTAATGATGCAAATTTATTTTGTTTCCTTTTAAGCAAATATAAATTCTTGATCATTTAAGATCATTCAGCCCCTCTGAGTAAAATTATACATTGTAAACAAGGAGACCCCTCTTCATTAAAAAAAAATGAAGCAAATGACTTCAGAATGAGAGAATATGAATATGTTGACATGGAACTTCAATGGCTATACAGCCATAAGCCTCTACTGAAAAACTACAAATACTGTGATCATGGCAGCGTGGGGAGCAAATTTGCATCAGAAAGCCTTCTGAAGCACTTGGGGACATGGTACCATATTGCTAAAACTGCATTTGGACTGTCTCCTCTCTGTTGTAGTTATGCATGTGTTTGGGAGGTGGAGACCAAAGTGACATTGCCTATTAACAAATCATCACAAACAATAGGATATCAGAAGGGGAAAAGGGAAAAAAAGAAGATTGATTGTGAGTGCTGTACCTGGCTGAGGCAGTAATAAAATCCTGCAACTTTGCACAGGTAAAAGGGTAAGGTAAGAAATCCCTCTCACAGAAAATAGAGTGGACTGCAAAAGCTCAGCAGAAGCTCCCAACTTAATCAAAATGATGGTGAAAGGTATACATTTCAAGGGTAAAAACACCTTTCCTTCATTTGGGAGGATGCTGAAGGAGAGAAGGAGATACGGAAGACACATTCAAATGTGCGTGGAAAGCTTGCTATGTATATGAAGCATTCTGTTCATAAAAAAGATGTATAGAATGCTTCTTTGATTCTTCACAAACACATCCAGTGATTTATTTCCAAACTATTCCAAGGTCTTCATTGTGCTTACTGTACATAATATCACTTGCAGTTGTAAAACTGCAGGAGTACATCATTGAAAGCATTGCCAAAAATACTCAAATTAAATTCTTCACAATAGAATATAGCTACCATGTCAATTTCAATATAATATGGTTGCGTTTAAAAATATTCAAACATGCATTAATTTTTTCCCATGGCATGAGTGTTACCTCTCAACAGGAGCATGCTGGTGGGATGGCTTGTTTATCCTTGCATATAATCCTTCTAAGTGGTCCCTGTCCAGAGGTGCTGCAGGATTATTGCACCCACCATAAGCTTCAGAAACAGGTGGAGAAGAAAGCTGGTAGGAGTTGATAACTGGATATACTTCTCGGAAGTGATTCACTCGTGCGTAATTTGGGTCTGTCTCATCATCATCAAGATCAGGCGGGGCTCCCATAGGAACTGTGGAATACTCAGCAAGTCCCCTGATCTGCTTCTGACGTAGTTCCTGATGCTTTGCATCGATCCTGGGAGACACAACAACCCAATGTCAGTACGTACTGCTGACATAAAACAGGAATCCTACTCAACTGAAGTTTGATTACATCAATTTAACATGCAAGCTAAATGCCAGTGATAATAATCTGTCTTTTAAAATCATATTATCAGAAAATACATGTGTTCTTCAGTCAGTGATCACACAATTGGTACTGGCAACTTGGTTGTTTATTTATTTATTTATTTATTTAATTCAATTTATATGCCGCCCTTCTCCCAGCGGGACTCAGGGCGGCGCACAACATATTTAAAACAAAGGCATATATACAATCCCCCCCTGTAAAACCGAATTAAACCAAATTTTAAAGTTGTGTATTTCAAATTCCTTAAAATGAACCCAGTATAAAATCCTCCCTAGGCCAGGTCCGCTTGCTGAAAAAGCCATGTCTTGAGGGCGCGACGGAAGGTAAGGAGATCCNTCTGTGGGAGCGTACCGGTCTGTGGGAGGGAATCTGCGGCAGAAGGCGGTCTCGGAGGTAACCGGGTCCTATGCCATGAAGCGCTTTAAAGGTGGTAACTAACACCTTAAAGCGCACCCGGGAGGCCACTGGCAACCAGTGCAGCTCGCGCAGCAGCGGTGTCACATGGGAGCGACGAGTCCCTCCCAACACCGCCCGCACGGCCGCATTCTGGACCATTTGAAGCCTCCGGGTGCTCCTCAAAGGGAGCCCCATGTAGAGAGCGTTACAGTAGTCCAGGCGGGAGGTGACGAGAGCGTGAGTGACTGTGCGTAAGGCGTCCCGGTCCAGAAAAGGCCGCAACTGGTGAATCAGGTGAACCTGATAAAACGCCCCCCTGGTCACGGCCGACAGATGGTCATCCAAGGTCAGCCGTGAATCCAGGAGGACTCCCAAGTTGCGCGCCCTCTCTGAGGGGGCCAAGGTTTTGCCCCCTATAGTCAGCGATGGCGTCAGCTGACTATGCCGAGACGCCGGCAACCACAGCCACTCGGTCTTGGAAGGGTTGAGCCTGAGTCTGTTCCTCCCCATCCAGACCCGTACGGCCTCCAGGCAACGGGCCATCCAGACCCGTACGGCCTCCAGGCAACGGGCCATCACGTCAAGTTGATGAATCCTGAGGATCCAAGACTAAGTATCCGGGAGCTTTGACAGACACTTCCTGATAAGCATCCAACTTTTATGATTCTCCCTGTGTTCTGGCTGATAACAACCCTATCCCTGAGCAGATTGGCAAGCCGGTGTCACGAAAACCTCACCTTGGCAGAACAATATTTCCTCCGCTCCTGAGGAAATTTCTTCAGCTGACAGCCCATCATGGCTGAGCCTGCTTAAACTCACACAGCTGATTAACACCTACACTGTCACTCTTGTGTACCTGGGAGGGAAGCAACAGGCTTGTTCGACAGATGCAAGGTTAAAGTGAAGAGATGGCCCTGCAGGGATAGTTGCCATCTCCGGTTTTCTGCTGCCGAACCAGACCGAGAATTTAATANGTCAGCTGACTATGCCGAGACGCCGGCAACCACAGCCACTCGGTCTTGGAAGGGTTGAGCCTGAGTCTGTTCCTCCCCATCCAGACCCGTACGGCCTCCAGGCAACGGGCCATCACGTCAAGGGCATCGTTGGGGTGGCCTGGGGTGGAAATGTACAGCTGAGTGTCATCAGCGTACTGATGGAAATCCACCCCAAAGCAGTTGCCAAGTGAAACCACAACTGTGCTTACAATCATCTTTCCGCTTTCCTTTGCTTTACAGACCTGCAAGGCTCATAAATGTGAAGATTGGTCTCAAAGTTACATTTTTTTTTATCACTGTCATAATTGCAAATGTTTGCTAAACAGGGCGGTTGCTAAATAAGGGCTCTCTGTAGCAGCAGATGTTAAGCAGACAAAGTAAACACAAATTCACTATAATTATCAACAATAAACTTCTAGTCCCATTCCAGGTTTTTTCAGAGACAAGGCAAAATGCCTACAGTACATATATACATTCATCACTGCACAAACATAAATTACACTGAGACTTAAAGGTAAATCTAATGAACCCCCTTTTAAAATATGGATATCTTCTAAAATATATTTTTCTTGTTTGCCTCTGAACTAGCCAATATTATCATTGCCACTTTTATCATATTTTCCTCCCAATTTAATGAATCATCTATATTAAGTTCATTTGTGAGAAGTATAGTAATGTGACACACAAATGCAAATAGCAATTAGTGAAGTAAAAAGTCAAGGACCCAAAGCCATTTATTAGCATTTTCTACATTTTGTCCTAACACGTAACTTGGGGACATCATATCTTGTTACGTGGAGATCAGAGAGAGAATATACAGTGAAGAAATGAACAGAAGCCAGTAGAGATGAATTGTGTAGACATAAGTGAATTAAATACTATTACTGATAGTATTCCACTATGATAAATCTTTAAGAGGTATTACAAATGCTGCTACTAATCAGTGCTATTGTGTAATCTGTTGGGAATAGGAAATGTAAGAAGACACCCAGGTATAATTTCAAAGATAGTCAAATTCAGATGAATCATCATTTGCTTTATGATTGAAAACTTTAAACAAGGCACTGTTAATAATAAGATACTGAAATGTTCAGCTGCCTCACTATGTAATTAAAGCAGCAGAACAGATCAGAGTAGCAAGATGAGCCCGGTGTATAGAGAGCAAAGGATGAAAAGCAAAAGAAGGATTAAAGCACAGGAAAGCTGCCAATTAAAAAGTCAGGATTTATTCACCATTATTAAATTTGGCAGCTCATAAAATATTCCTGGAAACAAACACCTATAGAAGTTGTATAAAAATGGTAAAAGAATAAAAAATGTTAAACCATCTCTTTTGTAGCAGGAAAAAATTAAGAACCGTGCAGCAGGACATGAATGAAAAATAAGAACAAAAAGGGATTTAGCACAGGACATGGAAATACCTGGATCAGAAAAGATGCTCAAGCAATACGAGCTGCCACGAGGAGAAGTTAGTGTCAGATAATCAAGATTACAGAATGATTGCATACTGTATTTTATTAAAAGCAGACTGAAATCTTTGGACCTTGTAAGCTTTAGTGTATTTAAAAATGAAAGTGTACATATAAGTGAACACATATTTACAATTGCAACCTACGTATCATAGAATGGCACTCATAGTGTGTGTACAGGATGCCTTTACTGACTCCAGCACTCTATAGGGTAGTTGTTTGGATCATATGTCTGCATATGGATTATATATGAATTCTTAGGAGTGTACTTCTGAGTGGTTCTTTATTATTGTCCACCTATAGACAGAAATCTTCCCAGACTAAAGCAACTTTCTGTATACTATTAGATATTACTCTGTGAATTGCTGGGGGGGAGGAGCGATTTCCCACATTTGCTCTCTTTCTGCCTACCAAGGATTCCAAGTTTTGCTGTCTCTTTGCTCTCTGGGAATGAGCTCCTCCCTCCTGTGACTCTAGAACTACCTTCCACCACACACATATTGTAAACACTGATATGCTCTACACTGGCTCACATATAGTCTTCTCTGACCTATAGGTAAGTCTAGCTTTGTCAATCACAGGGATGGACAGGGCTTTCTCCCTACCCAAATGTTGGTATTCCATGTGTTAGAAGGCCACAGTAGCCCCTTTCTCTAGAAACTAAATGTAATAGGCTGTTAGAATAAGGGAGAAGAGTTGCAACCAGGAGAATGATCAAACAAGAGAAGTCTGAGTCCAAAGCAGGAAATGTAATTTGAGCATCTCAGATTTGACCGTCCCTAGTTTTCTTGAATGTAAAAGTAAGAGTGGAGAGGGCCATTCAGACTTGCAAGATTCTGCTACTTATAGTAAAAAATAGTATTAATATTCATAACTTTGACCTTCAGGCAAGATTCTGCAATACAAGTAACTAAGTGTGTGATTCTGTGCCACACCAAATTCCTGTCCAAACGCAGGACAAATTAGGAATAAGCTCCCCAAAATGGGCAAATCAGAAACTTGCCTGAACAAGGAGTCAACCAGAACCCAGCAGAAAGAACCAATCAGGAATCAACACTCAAAAAATGACCAATCTGAAGCTGGCATGAACAAAGGACCAATTATGATCAACCACGGTTCCTGGCAAAATATCAGAAAATCTGTTCCCTAAACCATGAAGCCCAATCCTGCCCACAAGATACCTGTGATGAAAGCTTATATCAGTTATAAAAGAGAAGAACACTCATGGATATATTCAATCTTTAACTATAAATAAGCAACATGTTTATTGTTATCATTCAGACATAAGAACAGATTCCAAGACAGAAAAGGATATATTCTTCAAATGGAAGGAATCCCTGGAAAGTAGCAGGAATTGAAAGCAAACAGCAATAGAATCAAGTATAGGGTTTGATGTTACAACAGTTAACTATAAAGAAGAAGCGTTTCCTTTTATTTCTATAATGCAACAATCTCAATTCATAATTAGGGAACTGTTGAGAAAAGGCTTAATTCTCTAAAGAACCCTTAAAGAAAGATGAAAGAAAGATCACACAGCAAAAAGAAAAGAGGAATTCCTGCTAGCTTGTTCAGTGTTCTGTTGGAACAAGCACATGGATAAATATGTGGAAAGTTAAAACCTAGAATTTGTCAGCAGCAATAACAAAATTCTTGTTGGAGCATTCTTGCACTATAACAACTGAAATGGACTTCCATGGACAAATCAATGTACCGATAAAAAAAGGGAGAGGAACAATTGAAAAGAGTGTTGAAAACTAACTGGACTGTTTACACTCTCATTTCTTCTCTCTCACCCACATGGTATATAGGTTAGAAAGATGAGTATCTTGTATATATTCCATGGGAGAGTTGCGTTTATAAAGATGAAAGCTCTTAATTTAGCTTTAAAAACTGCATTAGTCTGTTTATTGTTTCAGAATACTTCAATTTTTCTCACACTAGAGTTTTGAAAAGAAGTGGCTGTAAAGATATCTAGTTGCCCAAGGTGCAAGGAGAGCTGTTCGTTTGGTTTCTATAAACACTAGTA